GTTTGTGAAGTGCAAACCGCGATTTTTTAATCAAACAAAAATTTATGACATTCGAGCCGCGAGATTTCATACCTACTGAAATTATATGATATTAGAGCCGCGAGATTTCATACCTACTGAAATTATATGATATTAGAGCCGCGATATTTCAGACAAAAATAGGACTTTTCCAGACTAGCTGTGGTGGCAACTGGCAGATGCAACAAGTCTGGCTTCTTGTCAAATTGTCGAATCATAGTGGTGGCCAATTTTGAAATAGCTTTCCCTGAGTGAACTTTTGGGGGGTGGTAACTTTAATGATGATGTGCAAAGAAAAATCTTTCAATTTTTGACTGTTTACATTTTGAAATAAGGGAGAGGGTGGCTCAGTCAAAGTGACGAAGCAGAGAATTTTTTAGACTCTCCCTCAAGTTCATTTTTGAGTCTTATAAGTAGACCAGTAAAGTATCATGGATACCAGCATTATCCTAATTAAGAAATTGCTTTAAATCTTGAGTTTTTAAGGAAAATAAAAATGAACTGATTACAAAAAAGCTCTGGTTTGCCACTATGGCTGCTCAGTGAACTTTAGAGTTTAGATATGTGCCAAAATATCAAGATGAAGCTTATATATGTATGGTATGAGTGTATCTATGTATATTGTATATGTTTGTGTACATGCATAATCTATGTCATCCAATGTATATAAATCCATCTAACTTAACTGTTAAATCTAGTGCTCAGTTCTGAGCCACTGTGCAGAGAGAGAGAGTGGATGAATATTGCAAGATCTTTGGCAATGGCTGTGATGCTTTAGTAGCAAAATTTACGCCTTCAGAAGATCTTGCTTCTTGCCTACACATTTAGATTGTAATTCTTGCATTTAATATATTTGTCAGTCTTCGGCCAACTATTTAGAAAAAAGTAAGGTTTCTGCCTTCTGGTACGTTGGATGGATCAGGATGCAGTAAAGCTTGTCCAGAAATTGGTTGCGATGAGTTCTCGCCAAAAAAATGTGAACAAAATGTAGTTGCGGTCACATTAGAGTGGTCGGACTGTTGTTGAACTATATTTATTGTGCTATCAGCCACATTTTGGGCCTGAGGGTGTTTGCTGCAAGGGTGTCAAGAAAACAAGGAATTGGTGATGGAGTGATGGTCTTCACCTCCCCTACAACCATCCCAAACCACCTTTTTATTAGAATTTTCCTTGTGTTTATTTAACAATTTATTGAACAATACAACAAAAGAACTAGGTATATACAGTGAACAGAGAAGAAAATTATACCGTAGCTCTGATTGATGATGCAAGTGTTACTTTGGGTTCAGTTTTTCCTATATAGGCTATAGGCAACTGCAAGAAATGGGAATGCATTCGGAATCCTGGCGCTGTGGTGCATTAGGTCAGCTGTCAGCACTCAGCAGACAGCAGTGATGATGGCATCATGGCATTGAAGTCCATCAACACCCAAAGAGACTGAAGAGAGTTGCAAAACATGTTCTTAACCAGGCAGTGTGGAATTTTGGATAGGTACTTATGTATTGGATTGAAAAGCCATTAGCAACCATGTTACAACTTACATGTACACATTCCACTGCACTCTGTAGTGACAATTGGAAAGATCCTGGTGATAGGTAAGAAAGATCCTGGTGATAGCCTGAGGCTCTGAGCCCTGATAGGATGCCCTTTCTGCTTTTAGGCAATCAATATTTCATGGACAATAAAGTGTCATCTTCCTGTCAAATTTATGAAATTGGTTGTCATTGGACCATTGGGTGATGATCTCTGAACCTAGGATTTTGCTGAAGTTCTGGCTTTGCTGGAAGGCTGGCTAGCCTGGCTTCAGGCCTTCAGCTTCAGCATGCCACTGCAAAGACTGTAAAAAATTCTTAAAATTTAAAAATTATGTTACAACCTCAATATTCAAATTTCAAAGTCACTTTAAACTTAAGCATCTTACCTTACCAATCATTTCAATAGGCAGTTGGCACTTCTGCAGTTAGAAGTTGAAAAAAAATATTTGGCTGCCTGTCTCATAATGCAATATATAACCCAAAGAAAAATTTGCAATTAATAGCCAAGTTATTTATTTTTCTTGAAATAACAATAGCTCCAACACTAATACTGATTAATTGTTTTCTGGAAATTTTCTAACACTTGGTCTTATTTGGATTGTTGGGCAGAACTTTCCAAAAATTGCCATTGAAAACAATTGTTTCACAGGTAATTTGCAAAATTTTCTGGTGAAAATATGTAGTTTTTCTCATTTTTCTCTAAAGAAATTTGGAAAAGGCCATGGGAATGGGTGAAATTGGCCAGATTCACTAGAGTTTTTGCCAATTCATGGGTGGCTTCTGCCCAATTTTCCACTTAAGCACTAGGTTTATAAATATTTCAATGTTATTTCTGGTGCAGTCTATAAATAATTGAATTTTTTTATAATTCCTAAGTGTAAAATTTGTCGGAAACTACCTATGAATTAGCAAAAACATCATTGAACCTGGCTAATTTTACCAGTTCATTTGGCCTTTCCTCACTTTCTTCAGTGAAAAATAAGAAAATTGGCCCATTTTTGCCCAATATTTTTTTAAATGACTGGAGAAATATTTTTACCTACCTGTAATTTTAGGAAACTTCTCCCAAATAATCCAAATAGGCTTCTATAACTGCAATAAATAGGCAATATATTCACCACATAGTACGACTTTAAAATGGTGCAGTATGAAAAAGTTTTAAGATTCTATAATTTCTGAGCAACATTTGTAAAATTATAGTAGCTAGCATAAATAATGCAAATGATGATCAAAATTTTTTATGTTCAGGAATGAATTTTGTTACTCAAGATGAATTATTTTTACTTTGGATATACCTTTCATAATTTTATTCTGGAAGGTGTGGACATCATCAGTATTGCAGGTGAGTTCTCCTCTATGGTTTTAATGAGAAAAATTGGTTTAATCACTTTTGATATATTTTAAGTATGTATGCCTTATTTAAAAAAATAAATTGGCATATTTATCTGTTTTGTCATACAATTTGGTGAATTATGTCAATTTTATTTAATGATTCTTAATTCAGAATTTTATCAACTTCTGTTCATGCTCTCAAAAGATATACCTATAATATATATATATATATATATATATATCCGCTGATTCTTAACCACCAATTCCTCCTTATGGTAACTATCATGGCTGGGCTGTAGTGTTTGAATGTCATTTTGCATCATTTAATGTGTAATAATTTTATATTTTATTCAATTTTTATTTATGGTGAAATCTAATTCCTGAAAATTCCTGCTGATTCTATCTCAGTGATGTCTATAAACCAGCACTGAATATTCTTGTAGTTCTCTTGGTAAATTTAGATGTACCGTATACTGGTATATGTATTACAAAATTGTTGACAATGCTTATTGCACTATTTACATTTTTTTAATATACTGGTATTTTTCATGCATTGCCTGAGACACGACTGTGGACATATTTATTTGATATTTTTTGTTATAAATATTAAGTAATATTTAGTTTGTCTATGTTTTCAGGATTTCTAAGTGTTGTGGTTGGTGTCTCTCTGATGTGCATTGGCAATGAGGGGCTACGGGTTGCCCGGGCCTATCTTGCCCAACTCACGCCTAGACAGAATGCATCCTTGAGTCCAGAGCCAAGAACACGTCATGCTGGAGCCTCACCATCAACGGCATTGCAGAGAATTCTCATTGACAAGGATAAGAAGAAGTTAACGTGTTGTACCTCAAGGCAAGTTTGTTATTAATTCTGCAAAAAAAAACTAATACAAAATTCTGCTTAAAGAAATTTTCTCTTTTATTGTGTAAATGTTCCTTAATAATTGTACATCTAATAAAACATGAAACTTTGAATCTCATTGGTTATTTTGTGGAATATCTTAGTATAACCTACCAGCAGTATATGTAATGTTGTTCCCCTCCTTTACAGGCCACTACATCTGATGCTTCAGAGCTTGGTACACATGTTACACATTTCAATTGGTTACGTCTTGATGCTTGTTGTCATGACATTCAATGTCTATTTTCTACTTGCTGTTGTTGTGGGTGTAGGTGCTGGATATTTTCTGTTTGGCGCATTCAGTGTGATGCTTATGGCCAGAGCAAATCCTTATTTTGTTGAACATAATCATGGTAGATTAGGAACTTTAGAAGGTAGCAATGCTGTCTGCTCAGTGAGTGGTAGCTGCGTAACTGACCAGGTGTCAGCAGCAGGTGAGAATGACTTGTCCAGATTATGTGGCAGGGCGAGGGCAAATGAATTGGTTGAGGGAGAGAGTGACCACAACAACGGCACGCCTGACCGGGACCGCCTACTGCTCATGGTTAATGCTGAAGAAACCTCATCTGAACAACATCGCACGTCTGATATTGTTGCTCTCTTGAGTGGAGAAGTCACGGTTGATGTCCATGTTTGAACGGGGAATACCTTCGATGTTGGCTAGAAACGTGCTAGGAGATTGTTTTGAATAATTAGGGAGATTGTTTTGAATGATTAGGAGATTGTTTCGAATATTTAGGAGATTGTTATGGATAATTGGATCACAATTGCGGAAGGAGAGAATTGTCTTGCTACAGTAATTAGTTGCAAATGCGCCTCAAAATGTAATTTTTACTCTGCTATATGGTACTTGTAATTTAAGGAAAAATATATAGGCTCTGAAACTATTGTTAATGTACACCTAAGATGAGGTATCGTACTCTTGAATCAATGTGTCCTCCCCAGTCCCTAGTGCCATTGAACAAACAGTACCGCTGCTGCGCGTCATTAGGTTGATTTTGGTGCTATTAGTTATCTTCGTAGTTAATAGGGTGTAGTATGCACGTGCGCTTCGTGCATAGTAGTATTGATTGTTATGCATGCCTACTCTCTTGGCAGTTGAAGAAAGCTCTAGTCAAACTTGCTGTCCGATCACTAGAAACTGTGTGGTCAACACGACTTTGGTCGCGTTTATTGAAACTAAATTATCCGTCCCCATTGAAATAACCCCGAATGCTGCCGTGACATTACAAGGAACTGCTTGTGTGGCACCTTTTCTGTTTCTGACTTGATATTTATATTTTAACCTGCAGCACGAGGTGCTATTGAAATTAGTGGAGAATGTGTGGATGTCTTGGAAATAATTTTATCGGTTGTAACTAGATTCTGATTAAAAACATTGTTTCTTCAGAATTTATTGAGGAATTTAGTGAGTTGGCCAGTTGATGATGTATGGAATACGCCTTCAAAAACTCAAAATTAATAACTCGTTTATCCTGTGATATAACATTAACCTAATTCTGAAGCATTGAATGTTAACAATTATTGATAGCATGTTATTCGTGAAGTATAGATTATGTTGGGTGTATTCCAAAGAAGAAGAGGAAAGCTTAATTAGTGTTAATCGTATTAGATGTAACGGATTACTTCCAAAATCGGTCTAATTAATATTAGTACAATGGGTGCTATTCCGGGGCTCTTGACAATAATCTTCAATGGAGTGGCTAAGCTAATCTTTACTTGCTGTAAGTCTGTCGACGCTGCGTTGCCTCGTTTAGTTAATATTAATTTTAGGATAATATTCTGTATATTTAATAAAAAATTCGTGCCGTCATTAATCGAGAACGCTTCCATTCCTAAGCCATTATGTGCGACCGGATACTATGACGAGGCGTTTCAATTTTGTATCAGGATTAATTTAAATTCATCTAGTGATTTTTGTCAATTCGCCTAGTATTTTTGTTCATTCACTGTGTTTGTCAACAAATTAGTGTCCCAAGATATTCCTACAATTCCTGGAAAATTACCAAAAGATTGTTGTTGTGCATTCCATTATGTTGAGCGTCGCTTGTGTGTCTGCATTTCCAAACCGCTTAGGTTATTAAATCGAAAAGCTTTTAACAAAGTCGGCGGAATTTCTTGTTATAGAGTTTTACGTGCTTTGCATGCCAAGTTATTTCAGTTAAGCTACGTTAATCTGTAATAACTAACTCACTTTAATGCTTACTTATGAATATTTAAGTATATTAGCGTCCAAAAGTTTTTTGTACACCGTGTTAGCAAAATAGAGGTGAATTATTTATGATCTGAAACATATAAGATGAACAATTCTGTCTTCGTATGTTCTCTGTTAGTTTTCTTGCCACTCTTTCTGTTAAGGTTCATCTTCACTTCGTTACAGACTCGTTTCCACGTGTTGTTTGGTCTCCGTCAAGCCGTTCTTAGTAGTTTGACTGTTAGTCCCGGTAATATGCCAGAAATGCAGGAAGTTTCGACTGGATTTATCCTGTTGCTACGAGAAGAAAAAAGCCTTTGCTGACTCTGAGAAATGCCTGCGCTGCTCTCATAGGTTCCTTGGCTAGTTCCGCGCGCTGCCCACCATCCGGGCCTATACTTAAAAAAAAAAAATTTAAGAGATCGTAAGTTCATAAGCCAATCATTGACGGCCTTTCAAGCAAAATCCACCAATCATAGACAAGAAAATAGACCGTAAGTACTTACGTTCACTTAGCGAATTCCGAAAGTATGGCCCCAGGTCTCGAATTTGTAATTTATACAAATATAGAGTAGCATAAGGCGGTCTGTATGGTCTTTCGTTTCTTCTATTTAATGACAAACTTTTGAGATCAACACGGCGGTGATTTAATAGCTCTAATTGTGATACATGGTGGTCATTACGATGGCTGACAATTGAAGTGTTACTTTAATGTCACATGCAGTAGACATGACTGCATTTCTTGCCCGATTGGTTGTTTCAACTGCCAATATGTACTACACTTTGTTGATTGATTCTTAAATTTGTTTCTAGGTTTTTATTTTAGCGACTGTTAGACAGAGCTTTTGTGCGATGCTTTATTTCGCGAGTTATTTTGTTGTCTCTGAAACGATTTTCTTATTCACATAACGCTATCTTCGAAAAAATATAGAGTATTCAATTCTTGTGAATTCACCTTAAGATTCTTTGTTTGTACATCATCAAGACACCGCTTTCAAGCGCCGACGTACGTATACCAGGACTGGAACTTACAGGCTCTTTGATGGCTCCAATGCACGGCCTGGTCTGGCGTTGCTTGTCTGCACCCCTTGCTAGAACCTTCGTACGGTGACAAGATAAAAAAACAATTGTTTTAATTCTAACTTGTGCTCAGGTGCCATGAATTTTACAGAAAATCTAAGAAAATTTCTCTGTGTTTGAAAGAACCGCATGTCGGTATTCAAAATAAAAGAATTGGCTCTACTCATATTTCAAAGTATTCGCGATATTTAAGCGCCAACGTAAGGAATGCATCGATGTTTCTTTTGAAGCTCCCGTGTATACTTGAGCCACATCGACTGCAGCGGCCAGCCATCAACAGGACGCCAGCTTGACTTTTGAGCAAAGATGCGTAGATGCGTCTTCTTAGTGCAATCTTTAAGTCTCCTGATTGTCAAAATCGATTTCTTCATACGCCAATACAAAAGACATAAATGTGACTCCCAATTTATTGGTGATCATAAATGTGCGCGGGAGGCACGCATGGGCGCAACATCGGCGAACAAAACCTGCAAACATCGGCCTTCTGGGTGCTTACACACGGGGCTATTAGGTGCGTCTTTTAGTTGCGTCCACTACAGTTTTGCAGGCTGAGAGCCTATGCACGAGTTTAGTGTTTTCGGTACACTGCGCCCGCGTCAGTGCGACGTTGGGAGTTGTCGAGTAAGGGTGTGCACTGTGTAGTCATGCGAGAGTACGACAGCAGTGCGCACTACAGTGGGCGAGAGATGTAGTGACGGCTGTGACGCAACTGTGCTCGGTATGACGGCCGGGCGGCTACTGAGCGCAATAGACTGCTTCAAAACAACTCTAGTTGCCTTGCTTGCAATGAACCAGCTAGTTGCCTCTGAACACGTCAAGCATCACAAATTTTTGTAGCCTGGCCTAGTAGACGCAACTAATCGCACCGTGTATACTTTTTGGTAAGTATTAGTGACGAGCATATCATGATAGGGTATGGTAGTAACTATTATAGTGGATGCCGTATAGGCATTTTTTCATGACAATGTTGCCTTATAGACAGTTCTTAGCCAACTGGCACATGAGAATTATTGGACTTGTTCATTGTAAGATAATTTGAAGCACAAGGGCAAATTTCCTCTTCTAAAACAGATTAAACTTGAAGAAAAAGTCTAGACGGAGAAAGACCGGTGAAGCTGAAATATCAAAATACATAATAGAAACTTAATCGTTACGGTTATATCTACGAAACTTAAATAACTCGCATGTGGCAATCACAGAAAATCTTGCAGGTACCAACTTAACTCGACAAAACTTAGGATTAAATAAATATGAGAAGATAAAATTTCAAGAAAACGGTCACATTAAAGAGAATCGATTGAACTTAACATAACAACAAGGAAATACAACACATGACGGACGCACAACGACCGAATTATTTGTTTCTTCAAGTAATCACTACATTAAAAAATCCTGCGAACTGCACAACATTCAGGTCTTAATGGCAAAAAATCGCAGCTACTGGAATTGTAGCTGTCAACGATAAATTCAAACAAAGCAAATTATGGTCTGGACCGTAACCAAGACACTTGATTGATGAAAGATGTTCATAGTCAACATATGCTTTAATTATGCCAAGAACATAAACGAAGTGAATGGAGACAAGGCGAGAAAATGACAACGCAAGTGATTCCAAGAGTAAGAAAAAAGTTATTAGACACGAGGCCGAAAATGATTGTGGATTAAATAAATTCTAGAGTGAGAAGGCACGTACGAATGAGAAGACAGAGCGCAATAACGGTCAACATGGCAGATGACGCAGTTATGCGTGTTGCTTCATAACCAGCGCCGCTCTAGTGCATCCACGACCTCGGCCAAACCTGGCGCATGCGTGACGTCGGCGCAAACTTATTAACTTCGAGGCTTTGGGATTGGCCGATTAGTGATGAAATTATGAATAAGCTTCCAAGTCTTAGAGGTACATAGAGATTATTCGAATGAACAGATGAATCAAAAGTTGCATATTATGGGAAGTTCCAAATCAGAAGAACAATCTGTCAGGCAGACACGCAATGACCGTAAACAGCCGCTCGTAATTACAGTAGCAAAACTACTTTAAACTCTCATGAAATAGCTGCTAAAGTGTCTTCAGGGACATGAGCAGCGTAAGCTGCCGTACTTTTTTGTGCATCAAAATGCACGTGTTTTTATCGAACTTCCGAGTGTTTCTGTAAACGGAAAGCATAATTTAAATATATAAAGTGGCACACTCCCAGTGGGATCATAGGGAATAACCTACGTAGCGTAAAATAGTTTGCGTGTTTATAGAGCAGTCATAAATTGCACATCAAGCTAAAGAGCGTCACAAACTGGCATGCTGGAGATCGTCGATACGACGTCATGAAAGTAGTGCTCATTAACGTATTACTATAGCATCTCGTCTGTCAAACTTCGCTAAATTGCTGTGACCACAAAACAACTATCGCCGAAGCAAATATTCTAGCGCACGTTACATGAAGCAATAAATAATGGGGGATCATACTTCCAAAAAAAAAGTTAAGAGATCGTAAGTTCATCTGCCAATCATCGACGGTATTTGACGCAAAATCCACCAATCATAGACAAGAAAATAGAGCGTAATTACTTACGATAACTTAGCGAGTTTTGAAGGTATGGCCCCAGTTCTGTGTAGGTACGCAGCTGCAGATTATGACGGTCGCATCACACGATAATGGAGAACTAATGAAGTTGTGAGAAGCGTTGCGGTTCAAGATACTTGCTTTAAAGCTAAGACGTCGTGTGCTCTTAGCTGGTCGAGCTGGAGTGGCTATTAGGAAGCAAGAATCTAGTAAATATAACAAACAATTCATTATTGAACATTGGAACAACGCGCAGAGAGCGAGCTTCGTCAAGAGAAATTATCTCGCAAAAGAGTTCTAGAAGAAGTCTAATATGTCCATAATATACATACGCCGTAACACGAGAGTATTTGCAGAGTACGGCACCATCATATACAAAGAGTGTTTCCTAAGCGATAAATATTGCTACTTAGAGGCTAGAGCGTATAAGCTTAGTGACGTGCATTTTGAGTCGCCTACACCGGCAACAGAAGCAATACTGGCACTGAGGCCTTACGCGGTGCACGCTCCAAATGCAGTGAATTTCTACATGCCGGACGCCCCATCACTGCTATTAAATATTAAAGCTTTACTTAAGTTAGGTTATGTCTACTCTGTACTGAAATGTAAAGCGACCGCCACAAGGCAGGCTAGTCGGCGCGTCAACTTAAGGTAGGAGGTCCGATGGCACAGAGCGCTTAACGTGAAAGGGTGGGGCGAAAATTGAAACAGAAAGACGGAAGAAACATGACGGAAAGAATGTGAAGACAACAGAACACATATGAATCAGATACAAAATTATTGCGGGAACCGGGAATAAGTTATTAGAAATATCTACATTTTGAAATGTGGGCATTACTGTGCTCAACTTTCGCAGAGACTTGAAATGAAGAGAAGTCTCAACACTAATGTCTTATCAATTGTGAGTAGGTAGTTTAGTTAACAAATACGATGGTCAAATAATTATTACATGGATTGAAAATGAGAGAGTTGATAAAATAAACGTGGTCAACGTGATTTAGGACCTAGACTGCGATGTTCGTCCCTACACATCGAGGAGGCACGAGGCATCGAACATAAGGGTTGTCGCATCCCAATGAAGGAAGCGAAGAATGGAACTGCTTTAAAACTATCAATAAAAACGCAATAGTTCTTAATGCTTCTACTAACTAGGTGGACGCGGACTGCAACATAAATCTGATGTTGGCATTTACAAGATTAAAAGCGTATCAATTTAGCAGGTAATGATGAAACTCCGGAAATTACAACCGCGGCCCTCCTCTTACTCGACGTTTGCTCAGACTGAGAGAAGCTCGAGTGTATCAAAAACTTTAACCTCAAAAATTGATTTTCAAAAATTTTCTTTCATTTGAAAATGGAAATTAACAGTACCGGTATTTAATTTAAAAATAAAACATACAACGGGGAGCAGCAGAACTCAAGCTAAGAGTCGAGCATTTCGCTCTCTTATAACGCAGGATACTCAAGAGGTCTCTTAAGAGAATGTTAGTGCATCGCTGGAATACGTTATTTACAGCAGCTTAATATCCCTACTCGAAAGTGACGAATAAAACGCTGGCACTGTAGGCAGCATGAGAGGAGTGAAAGAGAAATTATAGCATTAACGATAATGTTTTCATGAACAATCTCCATTAAATTATGCAACGAATAATAAACCATAAAATTAAATTCCTATGCCAATTCAACGGAATTAAAATTTTCTGAGGAAATTCGATAAAGATTAACAACATGAGCCTAGGAGCTACATTCAACGCTACGAGACCGAACAAGAAAATTTACACGCAAAACATACAATCGGATATACTATATCAAATTTACATTGTTAATGACATACTAATAAGAATTTGTTAGCTTAAAATCATCTTAAGAATAGATAGCTACAAGGCTGCTGAAGCCTGAGCCCCCTCGGTGGTTGTTCAGGCAAAACTCACGAATTAATTCAACAAACATAACACAACAATAGAGACGAGAGGCATAAGAACTGCAGTAGTGCTAGGTAAAAATTATAAGTAATTACGAATTGAAGTTAAATTTACATGAGTGGAATTTGTGCTTACATATCAATTGTGTTAAGGCATGTGTCATACGGTACTAACAAAATGTGATTGACAATTTCTAAATAAACATCATAGCTATCGTAAGTTTGGTCGGCTTGCATTGTATTTTCGCAACTGTAAGAGGATAAAATTTCGGACACAACTTAATCCTTGAAGTTCGTTGCTTAGTTTGTGATCTCACGCACAGTATACGACTTAAAAGTGGGGCGTTCGTTCCACTATTACCGAGCGATGTGCTCAGTAAAGTTTGTCATGCCATGGCGAAGATGACGAAAGACTTACACAACCTAGCCGTCAATCAAGCCGTTTTTAATCAAAATGAAGTTTAAGCGCGTAAAGTTCATAAAAAAGTGAATAGAAACATGAGGAAGCTGACGAAGCCGTCCGCCAGTCGCATGAAAAACATCCAGAGACAGAAGAGGCAGAAAGCGGCGGCTGGGCGGCTGAGGTGCGACTCCGAGGCGCCAAAACTGTCCTGACACCTCAAGTATGGCGGGCGACGAGGCGAGGTACTCGAGAAATACAAGCAGTGCGCTTGTATCCACACGGGAGTAAGTGATGGAGTTGGCGGGAGGTGAGGAGAGAACGTTGCGGCACCAATAGGCGATCGCGAAATAGAAGCGTCTTGAACAGATGATAATCTGAAGAGAGACGCGTGTAGAGGATCACGGAAATTGGCAGCGCAGTTAGTTGAGAAGGCGAGATCAATAAGAGGTTTTGGCCTTAATGAAGGAATTTTTTTCCGTTTCTTGAAACGTCTTCCAGGGACGCTTACTGATGGAGCATAATGAACTCTGACAGCATCGATCGGTGGGACGAGGATCAGCGAAAGTGCTTCGTTGCGAATAACTAAGGAATTGGAAGAATCTCCCTTTGGAGATTCGATAGGCAATAAGCATGAGTTTGTTCTCAAGAGTGAGTTGTAAGCAAAGCTGCTCTGCCGATAAGCTGCAAGCGAACAATTCTGGCCCGAGAGCGCAGACAAGTAGAGCTGGAGCAGGAAAGTCACGCGCTGTCGAGACTCAATAGAAAGTCTCCAGTAGACGCGCTCCACTGCTCCAGAGTTGCCGAAATGATACCTAAATTCTGGCAAGTGCAAGCTTGTCGAGCTGCTACTCCAACTTCCAATCGTGGAGAGACTTAGATCATCAGAGAACTTACTGCTTTCGCCTTCTCTCGAAAATTTTAAACGCGCAGGAACTTCATGTGAAAAAGCTACGTCGTTTGCTTCAAACGAACTGTTTGTTTCAGAAAATTTATTTTCTGCAGCCGGACTCCTCACAGCAGCGGCAGCAACGTTCCTGCGTGTCAAGCAGCTGAGTCTGATAAGCCAATTTTGTTTTCTCTCTGAATACACAAGATTTCGGTGTAATTTTTGAATCACGAAGTCTATTGGTTCTACAATGGTTGCACAAATTTGATCATCTTTGAATTCGGGGAACAAGACCGGGAAATTGTCGCCAGGCATGCGTGGGAACAACTCCCGGATGAAACTTCGTCTTTTGATAGCAGATTTTGGTCCTGAGTGTCCAGGCACATCGGAGGGCAGAAGCGGTGCCCGACGTGAATGCAAAAGTCGATGAGCTTTAAGTAGTTTCATCCTCACCAAACTGTCGTACCGTCGGGTGAGGCGAGCAGGATACCTCAAGCAACTTAAGTAGTCCTGAGCTGCCTGGTAGGAACTACTTGGAACATTGACATCGCGCGGTGCTTTTCTGTATGATTCATTCTCAGCAGCCAGCTTGTTGAAGAGCGACGGTGAGCGCTTTTTCAGCAGTCGTTTTAATGAAGGGCATCGACTGAACCCGTCTCGACGACGAGCAAAACCAACGGGAAACAAACCAGAAGTTAAGGATGAGAGTGGGCTGTCGCTTAGCGGTGTTCTACGGTGCAATTTAGCGTCGGACTCGTGCGTACCGGAATTTTGGTCAACGCCAATTAGTGAAGATATGAGAGAGAAAAAACTCGAGGCAGGCAGGGATGACTTGTCAGCTTCATTATTTACTTCCAGGCACGTTAGCTCCGTTCCATCGTCTTCTCGGTGAAAATGGGATAATTCGAATGAAGGTTTTAGCAACGATTTGCCTGCAAGATGAGAATCTTCCAAGGGACTGAAAGCTTTAATGCCAGCCCAAAACAGTTCTTTCCTCACAGGCAAACTCCTGCCAGCACAAGGAACATCGAATTTGGTTGGAGGGTACGTGCAGGAACCGTCGGACTCCTCGTCTGCAAGCTCTGCCAGCACAGTAGTTTGAGCATTTTTCAACGAACCGAACTCGGTTCCTCTTCTCGGCCTCCTCCCACGATGCAATTCAGCGAATTCCCTCAGGTCTGAATCGTCGGCTCCCAGCAGCCCAAGCAGGGCTAAATAATCGCTCTCGTCCTCAGATTGTTGTGGAGAAGAACTGTCGCTCGCAGCCTCGGAGGAAGAGTACTCGTCGCTGGTGGCCTGCAGAAGGGCGCCGAAACCCGTCTGCTGTACGTGGGTAGGGGTGTCGTAAGCTACGCCTTTACCTCGCCCTAAAATCGATTTAGCGACAGCTGTAAATCCACACAGTTCATCTGAATCATTTAGTAGATTTTGATTGACGTTACCTGGTACACATGTACAGATAATGGATTCAGTATCGTTATTCATTCGGCCTTCATCCTTTACCTTACTGTTGAATGGATCGGCATACAATATTTTTGCATCTAAGTCCTGGAATTTGTAATTATCTGAGTCATTGTTGGATTTACTGACGGATTTTAGAGGATCTGAAGTTATTGTCCCAGATATTTTACAATGCAGAATTTTCTCTCGTTCGTCTGAGGTAATGAGTGCAACGTCTGACGGGCAATCCTGCTTTATGTAAGACATGGTTAATTCGTTGCCAAATGTTAGGTGCTTGGTCTGAATAGAAGCAAGAGGCATGAGGCCTTCGTGAGGCTCATTGCTTGGACGAGAGAGGCCTTCGTGAGGCTCACTGCTTTGCTCAGAGAGGCCTTCGTGGGGTTCAACGCCTCGCCCAGAGAGGCCTTTGTGAGGCTCAACGCCTGGCCCAAAGAGGCCTTCGTGAGGCTCAACGCCTGGCCCAGAGAGGCCTTCGTGAGGCTCAACGAGAATGATGGCTTTGTGTTGCTGCAAAGGCTGTGTGTCAGCTGGAAGAGGAAGACACTTAGTCACTCCAGAAGACGGTTTAGCAGAGAACAGCAAAGGAGCTCCGAGCAACCAAAAATCTTCTTCAGAGTGAAAATGATTCTCGGATCTTTGATAGTGAGAGGAGTCGTGGTCTGCGCGCAGGGGAGAACATGGACGACCAAGACAACAAGGCACGAGAAGAGGGGAGGACGCCTCTAGCAGTAGAAACTCGGTGAGACTGGGGGAGTGCGTGGGCCTGAAGGACTGAGTGAGGCTGGAGGACATTAGGGACGATGTCTTCACTTGGGCACGAGGCCCCGAGACTTGGGGTAGAGTGGGACGTCCGGCTGACGAGGGGGCAGCGGGTAACCGCTGCTGGAAATGGGGCGGCGTTTGTTCCTGAAAACAAAACTCGTATTAAGTAAAAAGTGGAATAAATAAGATACATAAAAATGTGCACATTTCAGAGTGAAGCGCAGAAAGAAATGCTCTGTACACGAGTATAAAACCAGCAGAGAATTTCATCGTCATCAGATAGATTCTTAGGTCTCACAAAAAATAAAATAGTTTTAATTTATTTCCCACTTTCATATCAAAGTAAAAGACCACGGATAATACAAAAACGAAAAAGGGAAAAGTACCTACAAGGCCATTTTTCAAAATAAATTTTGAATAGCAGAAGTTTTCACTAGGCAGGAGAATATCTTAACTGGTAGCTACGACAGTAAAACATTCATTTGATATAGGAAGCCTGATAGCTCATCGCAAGGTAAGAGAAGAACAGCGGCAAGTCTCACACATTCAACGAGGTAACAATCAAAAATAATGAAAACGAAATCAGAAAAAAACATACGCGGTTTGGACGTGACCTGCAAATCACAAACATGCAACGGATTAAACAAGAAACAAATCGTCCGCTTCGTGAGACGTTCCCACACGACACGCAGACGGCGTCCGACCAGCAGACTACGTCGATCGAAAGCGGCGTAGAAGAATGCTACGGTATAAGCTTAAGTCAGTGAATGATAATGTACAAGTGCAAGTCACCATACACGACACAAGTCCCCGACATTGAAGTGAATGATAATGTGAGAGTGTAAGTCACCATACACGGCGGGAGTCCCCGACATTGGAGTAAATGAAAATGCACATGTGTAAGTCTCCATTCACGGCAGGAGTCCCCGACATTGGAGTGAATGATAATGTACAAGTGCAAGTCACCATATACAGCACAAGTCCCCAAAGTTGAAATGTGTAACAATGTACAAGTGAAAGTCACCATACACGGCAGGAGTCCCCGACATTGAAATGAATGATAATGTAAAAGCGTATGTCATCACACACGGCGGAAGTCCCAGACGTTCAAACGCCTTATTTGCAAGCCAAGAATTGCTCTCAAATCAGCTGCGAGGCTCACACCTGCCAAGATCAGGACTAAGTACGGCAGTAATTACGAGAGCGGAGGGGTGGCGGGACGGCAGTCAGTACGGCGGACTGTCGGTGCCTCGCTGCCACCGGCACACGCTGGCGTTAGGGATAATTTCATTTCCAGCACAATATCCTTGTGTACTAATAATAATATAATATTTCTATTCCATACTCGAAAATTTTTGCTCAAATGTGATTATTTGAGGCTTATTCTGGTATTAAAATTTCTTAGATAGTCTATTCACCAACTAAAACTGCAAGGCCACATATAAGATGCTATTTATGTTGAAAAATAATGGATGCAAGCCATGCAGAGCTGAACAGTCATTCACCAGCGAATCATGGCAGTCACGATGGTATGAAGGCAGCGGCATAATGCCCGTCCAAGCAGGAAATGCATTCACGTAAATTTTTTAGGACAAAACTTGGAAGAAAAAATAAAAATTAATGCAAATGATTGAGGTAAATTCGTTCTCTGCATGGTTTCATTATGTAGAGAACTCTAAGCCAACTGGGGAGCGTGAAGTGTCTCATAACTGGACAGATAACTGGGTGGGTGCAAGACGTCCAAGGGTCTCAGTTCGGAGAGCTCTAAGGAAGCGGTCAGGCCTTGCTATGCCATAAAAAATAGGTTCTCCCCTTCCTCAATGTTTTCCTGTCTCGATGTTGTCCTGCATTAAGGCAGGCATTCAGTTCAGAGCGCTTCATAGAATATTTCTTTCTACCGAAGTAATAAATTCGAGAAAACAAACTCGAAACTAAGACCAATACAGTCGATGCAGACAGCATCTGTGCAGTATTGTACGACTGCACATCTTTTGCCCACTTCATGTTGAAAGATTAAAATTTTAATTAGTCAAATGAAAAAAGTCTACATCACTAACAGGCTTCACAATCACTTTATTGTAGACGCAACGGGCGCCGCCCTAGTACAACTAGCCTAAATTAGGCCAAAATGCCTCCTCAAATGCCAACTAGAACAAAAGGATTTAAATTTTACTTTATTAAGTCAAGAAAATTTTGAGCTGTCCTCACTTTGGTCTGGCGCCGGCAGCGCGGGCGCCCCGCACCGACTTGAGGGCGCCGAAGGAGGCGTCGATGCTGATCTCCTCGTCGCCGATGGGGGCGAGGGCGGCCTGCAGCGCCGCGGCCACCTGGGGCGCCACTTCAGGGCCCTCCCAGTCCCGCGTGGTGCGCGCGGGCGGGTCCAAGTNCGGGTCCAGGTCTAGCACCATGATGTTCTCGCCCTGCAATGTGGCCTGCCGTTACTCACGATATTCTCATCAACAATAAAGAAATCACAGAAATGAGTCGTAGAGCTAAACAAGGCAACAGTCCAATGTTTTGCAATAAGACACTTGACATTAGTTTAGGCTTAAACCAAAATCAAGAAAATGAAACCAATGTTTTAAGTGTCTTGTACCTACATGATACAGCAAGGAACAAGAAGATTCAAAACAGCAGCTCTAAGATTCAAGATTTATTTTCCTAAAACAACTGAGCTTAACCGTTTTAAAGCGGGGGTTGTTTAGTGGGGCAGAGTGGGTACCTAGAAGCATAGGTAGTTCGTGCAGGATGGCAGGGTCCCTTAAAGCGGGGGTTGATGTGCAGGGCGGCCAGGGTCCCTTAAAGCGGGGGTTGTTGTGCAGGGCGGCCTGGGTACCTTAAAGCGGGGGTTGTTGTGCAGGGCGGCCTGGGTACCTTAAAGCGGGGGTTGTTGTGCAGGGCGGCCTGGGTACCTTAAAGCGGGGGTTGTTGTGCAGGGCGGCCTGGGTACCTTAAAGCGGGGGTTGTTGTGCAGGGCGGCCTGGGTCTTGGCGTACTCGGACACGGGACGGCGGGTGGAGGAGGATACTGGTCGCTTCAGGACACTGCTGCCTGCACCTCCGCTAGCGCCGTGCATCAGTGGTCGTAGCTGAAAAAAATTATTACCTACATTAGCAAAATAAATTTAATTTAGCACAATTATATACGTACTACTATTATCTGGAAGTCATGCAATAATCGCTCTGCTATCAGGTCACTGTAGTTTTTCAAGCTTTCTGATCCCATTTGTGCTGTGAATGTAGCTCGTTTCTTCTGCAACTTTTAATACGGTTTTTCATTAAAAAAATTATCGTAATTATATATACTAGAAATTTATGACCACCAATGAAAAATTTAGCGACTATTCCAACATAATTTGTCCACTTAAAAAACTGAGAATTGTAATACTTATTCCAATCAATTACTTTAACTAAAATAAGTTGTAAAACAGCGTTAAATTGCAATTAAGAAGGCAAGAATCTTCTCACTGTGGCGAAAATAAAAAAAAAATAAAATATAAAAGTTTGTACAGATATTGCCTTGGTGAAAGCAACCACAAAGAACAGCCGAAAGTTAATAAGAACTTCTGATTATTTACAATAACACACGCAAAGAACATAATTGATGGGGCGTCCAAGAGCCCATTATGAAGGACATTTCTGTCCTTCAATCCTTAACACGTTAAGTGCCGCACGACCCACCGGTGGCTCATACCACCGGTATGAATATGACCTGAATACGACATAGCCACACTTAACGTGTAAAAGGCCGGCCAAACACGGGCAGGTTGACCCACTAAAGTGCTAAAAGTGCGTTGTTATTTAGACACATTCTTTGAGAGTAGAAAGTCCAGCAGCGTAATAATAATCAGAGTAAATATGAAAAGCTGGCCAAGACTCTCACCTTCCAGACATCTTCGTCTTCGTCGAAGTAAGCTCTGTTGATGATCTTCTCCTTCTCCTCGGGCGGGATGAAGTTCTCTATGATGAGCATCTTCAGCTT